CCCCCCTCTCCTCCCCCTCCTCCACCTTCTCCTTCTCCTCCTCCTCCTCCTTCTCCTCCTTCCCCTCCTCCTCCCCCTACCTTCTTCCGTCCTCAGGAGTGCTCGGTCGGTCCGCAGGAGTGCCGGGTCGGCGTGCGGTCTTCTCTCTGGGGCTCTCATCGGATCGGGCGCAAGACTGACTCGCGCCTGTGCGCGCATCGTCGTACGACGGGCCTAGGACAACCCCCAGCGGCCCAGCCCTCGAGCACTGGAAGGCTCCCCATCCTCCTCGCCCTCCTCCTCCTTTTTCTCCTCCGTTTCTTTTCCTTGTAAGTGATTTCTCCTTGCCGCACCCCGAGGCCCGTTTCAAGAGCGGGCCAGGCGTTTATCTTCAGACTTCCTTACCATTCATGACCCTGGAGTTTAAACATTAACAACAGTTTCACAGATGGAGGGCGGGTTGCTTTCAACATGTGGCTGCAGCTTTTTCGCCGCGCACATTTGTTTTCAACAGTTGCCAGAGTTTCACGGGTTGAGGGCGGTTCCTTTTCAAATTGTGGCCGTCGCCTTAGCGCCGCGCACATTCGTTTTCAGTATTTGCAATTGTTTTGCTGATTGAGGGCGGGCCGCTGTGTGTTTTCAATAATTGCAAGACTTTCGCTGATGGAGGGCGGTTCTTTTTCAACATGATGCTCTCGCCTTTACGCTGCGTACATTCGTTCAAAACTTTGCTGCAAGAGCTACACACATTCCCATGGCCAGCGTACCAGAAATGGTGGTATGTAAGGTTTCAGGATTCTGAGGATACAACAGTTACGTTGGGTCGCAGTGTTGAAGTCCCAGGAATGGCGCTCTGGCACGATTTCGGATCGCCAAGACGCAACAGGCAGGTTGATCCGTGGCGTTGGAATCCCGAGAACAATTTTTGGGCATGCTTCCGAGTCTTCAAACCGTTGTCTTCCAACAAGGCAGTTCCCTCAGTGGGAATGAACCGTTGTAGGGGCCTGTGAAGAGGGAGCTTGGGGGGAGGGTTTACTCCAACACCGTTGATGGTATTCGGATTACACTGGTCCTCCTCCTCCTCCTCCTCCTCCTCCTCTTCCTCTGTTTCCTCCTCATCCCCTCTCCCTCTCTCTTTTTCCGCCTCTGCACGTCGTCCGCGAGGCTCCGGCCAGGGGGCGTCCTCCGCGGGACACCCAGCCTGCCTTGACGGCTCCAGCCGGCGTCCTGCTCCCTCCTCCTTGCCTCATCCCTTCTCAGCCCTCCCTGCCCTCTTGTCCTCCTGCCCCTCAGCATCGCCGCCGCCCTCGTTGCCGTCGCGTCGCCGTCGCCGTCGCCGCCGTCGCCGTCGCCGCCGTCACCGCCGTCGTCGCCGTCGTCGGCGGCGTCGTCATCGGCGGCGCCGCGTCGTCGTCGTGGTCGTCGTGGTCGCGTCGTCGTCGTCGTCGTCGTCGTCGTCTTCGCCATGGCCTCCGTGGACGTCGTCGTCGTCGTCGTCGCCGTCGCCGTCGCTGTCGCCGTCGCCGTTGCTGTCGCCGTCGCCGTCGCGTCGCTGGCGCCGTCGCCGCCGTCGCCGTTCTCTTGGGTTGTCCCGAGGCGCAGATGCTCAAGCAGGCGGCGGGGCCTGGAGCCTACTCGCCAGAGATCCTGGTCATGGCGCCCTCTCGGGAGCTTCCCGCCACCTCCCCGCCTTTGTCTTTGCCTCGGCGCCTCTCTGTGGGGTGGGGAGGATTCAGGGCCAACGTTGCCCGGGAAGAGGCTCAGTGGGGGATGCATCGAGGGCCACATCTCCGATCTATCGGCGGTGTATCGCCCATTCGAGGTCGACGGTTCCCCTCCCTCGGCTGTTTCCCCCCCAGCTGGTCCCCCCTCCAGGTCGAGGCTTCCATCCCTGCCTCTGCCTCGGCGCCCCTGGCGGGAGGAGGGAGGGGGGAGGGGCAAGCCAGGTGCGCTCGGGCCACATCTGACATCCTACCCCTCCCTCCCATCTCTCCCCATGGCGCGCATTTTTCTCTATCCGCCGACGGGTGTCATAGTGAACCTGGAACATCCAAATGGACCCCATCGTGTCACGCGCAGTCTCAAAAGGGGAGTTCGTGTGCAGAAGCGCCTCGTAGAGGTAGCCCTGCAAGTTGCAATTCAGACCCCATCCCTTTACTCGTCCACCTCCCAAGCTAATCGCTTGCGACGCAGTCGTGCTGCCAGGACCCAGTGCGCAGCGAGCCTTGAGCAAGCGCTGCAGGAGAGCGCACACAGCGTGGTCGAGAAGGGGGGGTATAAGTTTTGCACCGTCTGTCGAGGGCGCCCACTCAAGGAGTTGGGAACGCTGGATTTGCTCATCTCGCAGTTCCTGGGTAACCCCTATCAGATCCACCAGAGTCATGAGATGTCTTGCGCTCGTGAACTCGGGTGGTGTCGTAAGCGTGGGCTTACGGCAGTGCGAAGGTACTCAACGGTTTGCAGAGCCTCTGCCACCCCCGAGAAGGTGCTGACCAAACCTTGGATAGCCGCCTTCCCCCTTGTCTGAATGCCTGGCAAGACGAGCTGGGCAAGGGCCAGGGAGCAGAGGAGTAGTCTTGTAGCGCGCATGTCGTACCTTCGTTTACTGTTCGGATCTTGGGACTCGAAGTGTGCGCCAGGATGAGCAGGAGGAAGAGGACAAGCTTCACGAAGGAGGGGGGCGAAGAGGAACTGCAGCAGCAGCAGGAACAGGAAGAGTGGGAGGAGCACTAGGACCATGGGGAGGGGGATGGGCGGGGTGTCGGTCACCTACGGAGTCGTCGTGGAGCCGGCGGCGGTCGGTGCGGCTGAGCAGCAGACTGCGGCTGCGTTGCGGGAGAGGGAGGAGGAATGGAGGGAGGATGCTGGGGGTCCAGGAGGAAGAGGAGGAGGATGCCGATGATGATGATGATGATGAGGAGGAGGAGGAGGATGATGAGGATGCGGATGAGGATGAGGATTAGGACGATGTTGATGATGATGCTGATGATGCGGCTGATGATGATGGTGATGATGATGCTGATGATGCTGATGATGATGCTGATGACGGTGAAGATGATGATGCTGATGATGCTGGTGGTGATGATGATGCTGATGATGCTGACGACGATGACGACGATGATGATGCTGATGATGACGATGCTGCTGCTGATGATGATGATGCTGCTAATGATGATGATAATGATGCTGCTGCCGATGATGCTGCTGCTGATGATGATGCTGATGCTGATGATGATGATGCTGATGGTGATGCTGATGCTGATTATGATGCTGCTGCTGATGTTGCTGATGATGCTGATGATGCTGATGATGATGAGGATGATTATGCTGATGCTGACGATGATGATGTTGTTGATTTGATGGTGCTGCTGCTGATGATGATGACGATTATGATGATTATGATGCTGATGCTGCTGCTGATGATGCTGATGCTGATGATGCTGATGATGCTGATGATGCTGATGATGCTGCTGCTGATGATGATGATGAGGATGCTGCTGCTGCTGATGAGGATGATGACGATGATGATGATGATGCTGATGATGCTGATGATGATGATGATGATGATGCTGATGATGATGCTGCTGTTGTTGTTGATGATGCTGATGCTGATGCGGATGATGACGATGCTGCTGATGATGCTGATGATGCTGATGATGCCGATGATGATGATGATGATGATGATGATGATGATGATGATGATGATGATGATACTGATGATGATGATGATGCTGATGATGATGATGATGATGATGATGATGATGATGATGATGATGATGATGATGATGATGATGATGATGATGATGATGATGATGATGATGATGATGATGATGATGATGATGATGATGATGATGATGATGATGATGATGATGATGATGATGATGATGATGATGATGATGATGATGATGATGATGATGATGATGCTTTTTCCTCGGCACCATGACCAATCAAACTGGAGCCAGCCTGAACTGAACGTAAACAGTTGATCCGCCGCAGATGCCCGTGTACTCGTCCTGCCCCGCTCGAGGGCCGCACGTCTCGGGTCTGCTGGCACAGGGGGGCTGCGCTGCGCTGCCTCGAAACGCAGGTGGGAGGCACTGTGAGAATGGACAGTTCGCGGCCTCATCTTCGGCGGTCGTGTCAAGCTCTAGCATCGGGGCCTCGTCACTACTGACATTGCGTGCCTCGCTGGGCACAGACACTGGCGTGCTGGCTGCTGGCGCTAGCACGTCTGTAGGCACAGAAACTGGCGAGGCGGGCTCTGGCGCAGGCTGCGGCACAGACACTGGCGTGTTGTTGACTGGCGCTTGCAAGTCTAGTGGCACAGAAACTGGCGGGGCTGCAGCTGCTGGCGCGTGAGCAAGTTAAAAGGCACAGAAACTGGCGGCTCTATGACTGGCGCTGGCTGGTCTGAGTGCACAGCAACTGGCGTGGGAACAGAAGCTGCAGGCACAGAAACTGGCGTGCTACTGACTGGCGCTGGCAAGTCTGATGGCACAGAAACTGGCGACAGAGGGGCAGCAGCATGAACATACTGAACGGTCACACCGCGGCTGGACGCTGGCAGGGATTCACCTCTCACGAATCGTATCTTTACTGCTCGAGAGTCTCCAGCCAATGTGCTACTCCCTCCTCGAGCCATCCCGCTGGCGCCACTCCGCGATGGTGCTGCGCTGCCCCTTCCGCGGCCAATGCCCGCTGGATGATGGAACTACCTTCCGACGTCGGGGCCCCGATGACGAGCTTCATCTTGTCCGTGTCGAAGCAGCTCTCGAGACGTATGAAGCTGATGGCCAGTTGCAGGCTGTCCTTGGAGATCTCCACGTCGAGCTACTCGGGATCCGCTGGCTGCACTTTCTCCAAGTACTCAGCGATCTCCACTTTGAGCTGGCCGCCGATGTCGCACTTCTGGAGGCTCTCGAGCGCCGCCATGCCCAGCGCTGGTGCTGGTGACCCTATCTCCTTGATCCTCTTCTTGTCGGCGTCCTCGCCGCTCCTGCGAAGCTGGTCGAGTAACTGCTTGTAGCCCTCGAGCTCGTTGGAGAGCCCATCGATGATAGGGTGCTTGCTGCCCATCGTGTACGTGTCGATGCCGATGCTGCTGTTGAGGCGTGTCTTGTGGGTAGTCTGGACCAGCAGCTTCAGCGCCGCGCGCAGGAGACTCAGTAGGTTCTTGTCCTTGCTGCTCCAGACCTTTCTCGCTGTGGGCGCCTCGCCTGGCCCTGCGACCACCTCTGCGCTTCCTGCGCAGGCCCTGCGCGCCCGCGGCTGCGCCCTCGCCCGCGGCCTCCGCAGGGGGCAGCTCGTCCTCGTCCGCCGCCGCTGGTGCTCGTGGGGAGCTCGGACGCTGTCCTGCGGCCGGCTTCCGTGGAGGCGGCGGCTGCAGGCGGGGCTTGGCCGTCACTGGCTCCCCCCTGGCTGGCTTGGAGGCGGTGCCAGAGTCCTTGGAGCCCGCTGAGGAGCCCAGGGGGATACGCCAGGAGGCGCGTGGAGCCTTGGCTGGCGCTGGCGGGGGGGCCTTCGCCTTGTCCTTCGTCGCTGCCGCTGCCGCCCTCTCCTCTGGCGTAGCCGCCGCCGCCGTCATGCTGGTCACGGTGAGGAGGTAGCGAATGTGTCGAAGTACAGACTGCACGACGCAGTGGCGCTGGCGTAGGTGTCGCTGCTGTAGCTCTGCTGCTGGTGGCCCTTGTGAACCTGCGTCTCGTCACTCTGGTAGCTCTCGAGCTCACTCAGGAGGAGGGTCGGGCATCGGCGAAGCGCAGACCCGGTGCGGGCTGAATCCACGATCGAGCGGGGCCGCCGAAACTGGAACTGGTGGGTAGCTCGAGGGGCTGGGCTCGAACGTGTCGAGCGAACCTCCGCCCTGACAACTGGTTTGAGCGGCGAACCCGATGGCGACGGCGGAATATGAGAGAGAAGGTGTGCCCGTAGCTGTTCTGGGGCCTGATATTCATGATGACATGCAGGATCTAGATCACATTCACGAAGAGGACATATAGTGCATGTAGCTGGGGCCCAGGGATACACATGATTAGTAAGTCCTGGTATGCATCTGCCTGCCTGCCCTGCACTCCTTAAGTGACGGGCTGCATGATCTGTGTTCGGAAATGTTGTGTGGCACACGATACATGTGTTGTCCACCTGCAGTGTTGTTAAGATAGACGGCATTCCATGATCCGCTCCCCGAGATTTAGTTTGATGCGTCAGGAGCTGTTTCAACGTGCCGCATCGTTTGCCACAGTTCTCGATGGTGCACTCGAACGGTCGGTTGATCTCGTCATCGCCGTCGGTCTCGTCGAGGGCGGACGCGGAGGAGGGAGTCGGTGCGGGTCGCTGGTTCCGGGGGGAGCCCACGGAGTGGTCCAGTAGGAGGCCCCGAGCGCACGAACATCGCAATACAGACAGGCATCCCGTGCACCCTAGGCGATGCTTAAGAAAACTTAAGTTTTCGGCCAGAGTCTCGATTATGCTTAACTTTTGAATGTAAATCCCAAGATTTTGATAGAAGTTCTTGGTTTTATTCAATTTCTGAGACTATGAATTTCTTAACCCATGATTTCTTAAGCATTTCGCAGGGTGTACGCTTTCGTCCTTCCACCATGTTTTTACGAGTTCTCGCGGATGTGAAGCCAGGCGCTGAAGATCGTCCGCGAGCTGCTCAGCCCACGGG